AGAGAGAGAGAGAGTCAGATGGAATTGTTAAAAAGGATATAGAAAGGAGTGGAAACAAAGGGGGGTGTATGCAAAGGATTTGGGGGGGGGAAAAAAAAAAAAAAAAGAAAAAAAAGAAAAAATGGAGGAGAATGAAAAAAAGACAAGGAAAAAAAGTATTGAGAGAAGAACAAGTAGGAACGAGTAAGATAGTTTAATTCATTGCCTTGAGCAGGGTCTATTCTAAGATACGAGAGTTGTTACAGTTAAGGGTATGGAAGTTGATTAAGAGGGAAGATCAGGTAATGAAATGAATAATAAAAAAGGCTGCCGCTAAGTGAATATCAATGATACAAAATAGTTGGATTGTCGGAGAAAGAATCGTTTCGTTAATTGAACACTACACTGATTCGCTATACATTTGAAACGAAGTAAAAACTTTCCTGTAAAAATGGGCTGTGGGAGACAATGGTAGTGGTGAAAAAGGAGTTTTCGGGGAATATGAGCGCAATCAAAATTCAGCGTGAGCGTAAATTTGTAAAGACACGAACGAGCGGAATCGTTCTGTATGCCGTGGAGTGCGGCGACTGCTTCTTCGGGAAATAATTGAATAATTCATTTCATAAACTACAATTTGAATAATTTCACCTATTCGTACAATTCCCTCACCTTGTTCGTAATATACGTCTAAAAGGATACTTGTTAGCAAGAGGGGGAGAATTAAAAAATTAAAATCAAGAAGAATGAAAAGAATAGTACAAAAGAAAAAAATGTATAGCGAATAAAAAATTAACCTTATTCGGTAATTTCTTCAAATATTCCTTTTAACCTAGTTAAAAGAAATTATATAATCAAGTACGCGATATGACTACTCATAACTATAGCAGCTAACCCTCAAGAACAATGTTCCTTACGTATCTAGAAAATTCTACTTTTTCTCTCTTTCTTTCTGCTTTTTATTCCATTATTGCTCCGCCGTTTCGACGTGTATTGTTTCGACGTGACTCGAAGACTTTTATACCAAGATCAAGTAAAATTTATTGAAATTCTATGCAACTTAAAATTGATCGAGTTAATTTTTAACCAGATATCATCAAAATCATATAACTTAATGCAAAACACGAAAAGGGATCTTTGTTTTTGATTCGAGATTAAAGCTACGATTATAATATTTCAAATTAATGATGGCTTTCTTTCTTTCCATCATATATATGAAAGAGCATAAAATAATTTGCATGCATACATTTCAAATGCATATATTGATATATCAAAAATTCAATACCTCGTGATCATGGGTCCAATAAATGGCAGTTGGTGGTTCAGGACTGTGACGTACCACGCAAGTGAGATTCATCGTACTGTCTTTGTCTATGAACATTTCTGGTTCCCCAATGATCGACGTTATAGGCTCTGCAAAATAAAAAAAAAACATATAAATGAAAATGTATCGATGAGTAATCAGTATTATTTTTTGAATAATGAAAAGAAATAAAATGAAAAAAAAAAATAAATAAATAAAATACACATCCATCGTGTTGTTTTTTATTACAATCAGATTCACGTATAATAAAAATAAGCATGAATTGAACAGTCGAAGAAAGAATTATTTGAAAGGAATTTTGATATAATGTTGAAATTGGAAAATAATAAATGCATATGTATGCGCATGGAAAATAACAAGTTTATAGTTGGATTGGTCCGAAAACGCAAATAAAGAGTAAAAGAAGATTCCGAACTAACCGACAACAGAAAGGTGCATAGAATGACCGATTGGTGGTGTTGTTGACACTTGACATTCATATGTGCCAGAATCACGATGCTGAGGATATTTCACTTGAAGCGTCCAGTCTTCGGTTCTAGGGAAGTGTGATGCCACGAATCGTTGGTCGGACGTGTACGTTTCAACACCAACGGTCAAAAGATGGATATCCCTATGCCTTACCCACGAAACCTGAATATAGATAAATGTAATGCACAAAAGAGATCAGAGAACGAATAATATTTCAAGTTTTAAAATAACGATTAATTGAAAAACAGATCGATCGCATAAACTATATATATACTAAATATTGAAGCAACCATCAGCGTGCAATTTTGCGTGCGAAACTATTTAAAGTTGAAATCGAACTCGTATTTAACTATCAATACGCATGAATAACTGAAAATTGATTCTATCTCTGATATATTCAATAAGCGGTACCACCATTTAAATAATAATCTCTTTGGCTGTCAGAATATATAGTTATATATATATATATATATGTGCATACCAATTATTTCTCGACTCTTCCATGCATCGACATTTGTTTTTATTTAACATCAGCTAATACAACATTTCCATATTAATTCGAACAACAAAGAGGGAGAAGGAAGAAAAACTGAACAATAGAGATTTATCGTATCGTGTTTTTCTCGTTATATGTTTAAAAAATCGTATCTTCTGATTTCCGTTGATAATTCTACACGTAAAAACTGCTCGATGCGGATTTTATGTCGACGACACGCATGTATATCATTTGTACGTATTACACAGCGCCGCAAGAAATGTGATGTTGCCAGGACAACGACAGCATAGATAATTGTAATTAATGCTCCTGTAACGCGTTCTGATATGTTCGCAAACATCAATTTGCATCGGTTGGACACACCGATTGTTGTCGACTAAATAATTATTAACGTTATCCGCTGAGTGACAAACTTTTGTGTGTGCCACACTTACGCGATGCGCATATGTTGATTGCAATTGTGCGCATATATAATGTGTGAATAAAATAATCCGCGTAGAATCATACGAATCATTATCTAAGGAAATCAACGAATCATTTTTTTACTTACGTTTCAATGATACAAGAAGATTAATTATTTGAGATACAAAACATTTCTCTGTAATAACAACATAAAAAGGGAACAGAAAATCAGTACAGTATTTATTTTTTTTTTAAATGAAATGAACGTTAATTTCTATTTATCAAGATTATTAAGAATTATTACAAAAATATTTGCTTGAAGTATTATTCTGTGTAATTAACCGGCTACAATGAAATTAAAATCTAAAGAAATCAAGACGTCAGACTAATTAAAATAAATTTATTTTTGAAATGAAATTTATTTTATTATTGTATTCAAAGTAAATATTCATTTGTTAACATATTTATGTTGTATTGACAATAAAAAATTTGAAAAATAAATGTTTACTTAAGAATGATAACTTAAGAAATATTGATCGATATAGGGAACAATATTAAAAAAATGTAAAAAGAATTAAATGTTTAGAATAAGTTATCGTGATGTAGAATATTATTATTTTACGCCTAATAAAATAAATTTCAAAATAAGTTTACTTTAATTACGTGATCTTGATTTAATTTTTCTTTACATTTTTTTTGGCTCCTCTTAGGTTTTCCTTTTATCACAATTTTTAATTATGCAGAATAACGAAAAATGCTTCAAGCAAATATTATTACAGTTTTATATACCATTTCATTTAAAAAACACGAGGACGACACTTTCTTATTCCTCTTTGTAGTCGTCACAGAAAAATCTTTTGAATTTCAAATAACTAACTTTCTTATTCCATTGAAATATATATAAAAAAAAAAATGAATATAATTTCCAAAAACATGGTTTGTAACACTTCATTCGCGAATAAATCTATATATATATATATATGCCACGTGTACGAGAACCGTTGAATATACATCATTCATTTGTAGTCATCGAGTCCGGTAAAATCATCGTACTTCGAAGACCATCATTGCATGCTGGTAGTTTAATGCGGTTTGTGTTATTCTGCCTCGTTAAAGCGCCTTTCTTTAACGCTCGCGTGTTCTTTTAAGTATGCTACAAATTAGTATTTAGGACGTGCCGATAATCGGTAATGCACGTCGTCGTCGTGGTACAAAGGGATATTAATGAGAAAGACACGATGGATAACCAGGCTTATATCACACATATACATACGGATGAAAAGCCAATATGGCTTTTATAAATCACATTTACTCAAGGCTGCTAACGTTCTGCACCGATCGCACCAACGAGGAGCCATTTAAAATTCACGCAGAGCTTAAAGCATTACTTGCAATTAAAGCTGATTAAAGAGGATAGGTTGAATAGGAATTATAACGTTGAAAATTTAAGTACCTCCTACATGCAATGGCAGAATTTAAAAAAGAACACACAATAAATTATGCTCTGGTGTCCATAAGAAGCTTGATGGAACTGGTGACACATGCATTTACCGTGCGACATGATTTTTCCATATATTTGTACATCTAGTATTACGGTGTATTCTTTATTTTTTATTTAATATTTAATGACTTTTTTCTTTTTTCAACGAGAAATTTCGGACACTGAAGGAAGGAAAAATAAAAAATCAAAAATCAAAAAAAAAAAAAAAACAAAGGCGCTCCTTCTAAAAACAAAGTACTGTGTGCAGAGTTATCGATAGCTTCTCGAAAAAAAGCTAGAGGGAAAACAAGAAGCGAGAGGCAGGGTTACAGGGGCTGGGGAAAGAGGAAAGTTATACGCGCGAAATAAAAACTGCTCGACTGTGCGTATTGTAAAAAAGCGAAGTTTTCTGTTTTGCTTAAATTCCTCCAGTAAATAGTAAAATCGTATAGATAAAACAAATAGATAGAAAGAAATAAGAAATTTTGCATCGATATTGCAATTTCCAACTTCGAAACATTAATACGAATAACGTTTTAATGGACGAACTTAAATTGTAATCTCCGTTCCATTAAGTAGAATTTATTCCGATTTATTTATTTCCGTCCTATTGCATTAATTTTCTTGTGTTTTTATTAAACGACGTTGATTGCGTCGTACTCGCGTGTTTGTTTTGTTGTGTCTATCTCATTAACATTCCCGAGCGAAAGTAATTACGAGAAAAATTACAGTCAATTATTGAATATTGACAGCCAATAAAATTACGTCCGCCAACACGAGTCACGTGACTAGCATCCTCAACACTGATTCGTTACCTACCGTACGATCGCCCAGATTCCGTACTCGACAGTTTAGAGTGGCCGTTTTGCCAACCAATGCGGTGACGTTCTTTGATGCCGAGACATCGAAGTAAGGTCCACGGTCGAATGGATCTGGTGGATTCAAATTCTCGTGCATTTCGTGATCAGATGTAGCCCGGGCGAGTCCTTGCACTTTAAGAAAAAATACACACAGAACAAAAAAAAACAAAACGCACGAACACATATACATGTACAACACAGAAAGCAGCTTTCAGTGAGCTCGTTTCAATCTCCAGATTGCGGTGGATTGTTCTTTGACCCGAAAGATTATTTCCCGTATTTCGCCGCACAGCGAGCCGCTTTAACGGCGGAAACCACGAGGCGGATGAAGAAAAGAGAAAATGCTCGCCACGTTTCGTCGTTCGTTATCGGAATTTTGTTAACTCATGTTTACCGCGAAACTCTTGTGCGCGCCAGAGGAGGCGTGCACTATTTACAACCGAAAGTGGCAAGAAATCATTTTAATGTGTTCCGAAGTGGCAAGTGGTAAAAGATGACGTATAAGTATGTATTAGGTATATATATGTATATCCTTCTAGGTACTCGGACATAGACCTTGCTACACTTCGTCATAAAGTATTAAAGTAGGTGCTAAACTTTGAACGTAGCAGTTTCAGAAACTACTTTATCTCATAATACGTGGCAGTGAACTATCGTCGGCAACCGTCACTTTTCTTTCTTTATACGTATCTTTATAGAAAAATGTATCGCGCCACGGTATCCGCGTTATTATAACAAATGTTTACAATATTATTATCGTTTTTCCGTCTTGGTTATATACCGGGATATATAATCATATTCGGGAAATGACATACTTGCATATCTATTTTATATCTCGGATTGACGGTATATACATATGCATGAAAAATTACCTTCTTTCTTTTTATTCCCTCTAAACAATTTTCAAAAAGAAATTCTTTTCAGGGGAAAAATTCCATTAAACCGTTTTATAGTTACATTGTTTGGAACCGACGATTATACGAGCAATTCAAAAAACAATCCGCCCTGAATCATTAAACACGTGACTAATGAATTTCCACTTACCCGAAAACAATAGACTCAGGGTAAAAAATAAACCCTTCATTTTTTATTTCTCTCTCTCATAGTCGATCCACGATATCGCTCGATATAACCGTCGCGTTTTTTGAAAACAGCCACAACAGTTTCTAGTTTTAACTGGTAGGATGAGGAGATAGGAGGAAGGGAGGGATACAAAAGACAAAGGATTTTTCGTGTTCTCCACGATCGCTGTTCCCGACTTTCATTTATCAATTATTTCCGAATAATTCCATTCGCGGCGCGTTAATTTTCCCTTGGTATGGCGTAGTAATCCGGAATTGAACGTTCGATACAGCATCTCGTGGACAAAGGCGCGGAGAAATCAAAATCGCGAAAGAAAAGTATCGAGTGAATCGATAAGCATCCGATTTTCCATTGCTTTTTCACTCGTTGTCGCCATTATGTCTCTGCTATTCGGAATCTACGCGTTGACATGCATAGAAATTGTCCCCGATACTTCTTCCCCATTATCGTCCGTTTCTCTTCCTCCACCGCGACACTACTGCCTCTCTCTGTCTTCCCGCTAGAGCATGTCTTTATCCGTGAACTGCTTAATTGACCAATGGTATAGATGAACAACCGACAATTCCTTTCTTTGTTGTATTTATTTCTTCGTATTCTTTAAAACCCACCAGAAATATTCATTTCACCAAATAGATGTTATCTTGTTGCTTTTAAAATGTATTTATTACTATGCAAATTGAACAATTTCAACGATTTTCATCCTTCTGTCACAGCGACGGTCGACGAACGACATCGAAAGGTAATCTCGTGTTCTGTTCGAACTATTTAACCGACAGAACGAAACGGATAAATTTAATTCGCGTGATTCAAGGATCGTGTTATATACACGCGAGTGGAAAAAAAAAGGTGTGGAGCGTATGCGCGATCTTTGTGAGTTTTCTTGCGTTCAATGAGGATCGTGACGAGAGCAAAAGAGCGCGATAAAACTCGTGTACGAGAATCCGAGCGAAACTGACAGTGCATGCGACACGGCCCGGGAGAGACGCCCTGCCATCTGTCCTTGCACACGCCCCGCTTTCCCTCACCCGAAGTCAACGAGAAGATGGGGTAGACATCGTCCGGCGCAAGCGTATCACTTTAGTTCTATTACGAGCACGCACACAACTATATGAGGCGAGCGTGCAGCATCCTCTAGTCAAGAATCGAATTCCATGTCGGCTCGATCGTCGTCCTCGTCGTCGTCATTGTCGTACACGTGTCACACCAACACACCTTATGCACCGTAACAAATTTCATGCAGCAAAGCGCGGAGTGAGAGAAAGAATGAAAGAGAGAGAGAGAAAAAATGAGACCGGAGTTACTCTTTCACATCGTTTTCCACGTAAACGGGTTGGATCGAGCTTATCGTTTCGATCGTGGCCCGTATAAAAGACAGTAAACAAAACGAGGATGTTTTTTGTATCTATTTTCAATTGTTGGGATTATTGTTCGGACCGGACTATCGCATGCATATATATTGTTATAATACTTTGTGTAAAAATCTTTAATTTAAGTATTTGTCATTTACATAATGCTTCCGATCAGCAGTTTATTGGAATAATTCTCTTTTCTAAGAAATAATTCTCTTTTTTAAGAAGAATTAAAACATAAAAAGCATTACATTTGGTGTTTTAATTATTTGAAAAATTAAATTTGAATTTAAATTATTTAAAATACATTATGCGTAAATTTTTACAAAATTTGCCGTTATTCGAGTTTCTTTAGAACGAAAAAACAGTAGAATATGTTTATTTTTAGGAAATCTTCTTTGAAATATGATTCTGATTAATCTCGGGTGTTTCACGTTAACGTTACGAATGTAATATCTTTGTTTACTTAAGAAATGTCATTGCACATTTTTCACTGAACGTCAAGATGGTTTTACGAAAAGGATTGAATAATGAGCGTTCATAGCATCAGCCGTTGGAGGAAGAAACAAGAACTTTGCGAGGCAGCAAAGCATACCACCCCTTTTGTTCTTTCGAGTATAATGGACATGCATCGCATCTCTTTCTTGCTGCTTTTTAATGTACAATTTACACGATGGAATTGAAAAAGAAATCGATGCCCTAAATCGTTAGAAGTGAAACGCACAAAAGACGTACGGCTTGGTATCAAGGGATTTGACTTGAGTTTTTTTCTCAGAGATTTCTTTTTTCCTTTTTTCTTCTTTTTTGATTCGATAATCACATAGCATACGATAATCGAAAGCTACAGAAAAAGCATATTTTCAAAAATAAAATATACATTTTTCTAATAAATTTATCTTTTAATTTATTTGCATTTTAAACGTTTAAGACAAATGAAAATATATAATAAATTCTTTAGAAATAGAATTAAAATTATTTAATTTAACAAAAACATTCCTTTATAAAATATAAAATGAAATATTACTTATAATTATAATAAAATTATATTATAAATTCTTTTTATAAATTGTAACATTATTTTGTAATTAATTGGAAAAATTATAAATAAATAATTTATAAGAGTATTACAAATTAATAATAATGAATATTTTTAACACCATCGAATTCAATAGTGCATATTTCATATTCGATATTATAATATCGATATAAATTCAAGTTTCAAACTTCAAGCTACATGACAATATGTGAAATTTTAGTTATAGGTTATGTTTCAGAACGATGATGTTACGAATAGTTTACTATATTTTCGAAATGTAAAAATGTTACCATATTTTCATTGTTTAACTATATGGAATGATTCAATTAATTTGAATTTATATTAAAGTCATGTCATATGTCGTAATGTAAAATTTTCTATCCTTTTATCAGTTAATTGTTCTGTGAAAGTAAACGGTTCCTATAAATTTAAATACATATTTGTTTCTAATACCTCGCAAAAATGGATGATCAAGCATGTCCAAGATGCAAAACTACTAAATATCGGAATCCATCATTGAAAATGATGGTAAATGTTTGTGGTCACACATTATGTGAAAGTTGTGTCAATTTATTATTTTTGAAAGGTTAGTTTCTTTATGTTACTTGCTAAAAAAATGTGTTAATTCTTAAATCCTTTATTAAATTTTTATGTTATAATTTTTTAGGCTCTGGATCATGTCCTGAATGTAAAATTCCTCTGAGAAGAGCAAATTTTCGTGTACAATTATTTGAAGATCCTATGGTAGAAAAGGAAGTAAATATAAGGAAAAGAATTCTTAGAGATTTCAACAAAAAAGAAGAAGACTTTGCAACACTAAGAGAATACAATGATTATTTAGAAGAAATTGAAACATTAATATATAACTTGGCTAATAATATTGATGTAATAGAAACAAATAAGAAAATAGAACAGTACAAAAAAGACAATAAAGATCAAATAACAAAAAGTAAATCTAAACTTGGTAGAAGTGAATATGAATTGGAAGAAATGATCGAGTTGGAGAAACAGAAAGAAGAAGAGAGAAGATTGGAAATAGCTAAAGAAGAAATGGAAGCTAAAAGAAAAAAGATCCGTGAGAAAGAAGCATTGATAGATGAGCTTACATTTTCAGAAGGAAATGCAAAAAATATTGTAGAAACATTTGCTTCTGTTATACAAGCATCTAGGAAAGAAACAAAAGCAGCACCTACTAAAGCAACACAGTTTAGTACAGGAATTAAATTTAGCAATCAAGGAGGTCAAAATTATTTGCCTATACCAAAGATCGAAGAAGGACCTTTATATACTTACACACCTATCAAACAAGTAACAGATGGTCCAGCACCACCTAGTTGGAGAGAATTACAAGCTCGTGGATATGTTTCTCATGTACGTGCTGAGTCTGCAGCAGAAAGGGCAGGTGGATTTAAGGCACATGTTGCATGTTTAAGAGCTTTACAAGAATCTATGGCTGGTCTATATTATAATCCTTCACAACGTCAAACAGAATTCACATCTGTGTGATTATACAGATTGTTTTAATATCAAGAAAATCATATCTCTACTTTTGTATATAAAATAGTATGATCATTTAATCATACATAATTTAAAATCTCTGATCTGATTCAAGCAATAAAAATCAAGATAATTAAATGTTTGTGATATAATCAAAAATTACAGGTACACGTGCCTTTGTATATTTATGTAATTTTTATTATTACATATTATATATCATGATTATAATATAAAAACCACATAATTATAATATAATTATACTTGTTCAAAGATTAAGTATACATAAAATTCATTTTTTCGTTTCCATGAAAAATAAAACTTTTTTGTTAAAAATAATATATATTAGTAATTATTTGTCTCTATTCCTTACAATTTTTAATTATTATTTATTATTTATTTTTTATTTTAAATCATTATTTATTTTTTATTTTAAATTAAGATATCGCTAATATCAACTGATGGTATCACAGAGATAAAGGCATAGAATAAGTATTTATATAGTTATAGTATAAATTTTTTATAGAATCAATAAATTTAATATATTATATAATTATATCATTATAGACTATTATATTAAATTAGCATAATATTGATATATTATGTTATTGATAATATGAAAAATATAATATAAAATATTTCATATTAAAATAATCATTGTAAGTTTATCATAGTTAGCTACTTATACTGTTATCGATATGGTAGCCGCATAACATAGTTGGGAGAAGAATCGCTCTATGAATCACAGAGAAAAAAAAATAGATGTAATATATGGAATTTTGTAACGCACTAGATATAAAAGAAAAAGATAAAGAACAAATTATTTAAAAAGTTACAAAGATTATAATGTAAAAAAAAAAAAAAATGTAATAATTCTATTTTATAATTTATTAAGCTCGCAACGTACCGTCATAATTTCGTTTTCTTGGCAATACATAAAAATTGGCATCATAAAAATAATATTTTTGTATCAAATAATATTTTTGTATCAAATAATATTTTTTATTGAACAATACATAAATATATTGATTGGTTCTTATTATGTATTTCATTTGTGCCATTCTATAGATGGCGTTAATGTCAATACTTTTTACCTTATTTCTATCCTTTTCCTATTTATTTTGTTTGTTATTTGTAAAGATTATTGCTAAATATTAGATATATTATAATTTTTAAAAATCAAAACCTAATAAATTTTAATATGTAAAAAATTAATTATTGCAATCAATAATTGTGAGTGCAGTCAATTAATTTATATTATTTATTATAAAATTTATAATTACGAATATGATTATGAATTATATAGTAAATAATAATGATTTTTCAGATTTCATCACATGTAGATTGCTATAAATTGGATATTCATATTATTTATGGTCTTATTCATCAATATTTCTTTATACAAACAATTATTTAAAATCAATGATAAATCTTCCTTTTGATGTAAATTTAAAAACGTTCAATTAATGGTGTAATTATTATGCAAAATAAATAACAAAAGAAATTCTAAGGAAAATTGACATAAGTTAAAATGTGAAAATAAAAATGAAATTATATTTTAATTATATATAATTTTATAGATATATTACTTTGTACGAATACGTAAGTAAAAAATTTAATAATAAATGATATAAATTTTAATATTATATAAGAAACTGTAAAAATTTTAAATAAAATATCGCGATATCTTATAATTCGCAACGTTGATGCAAAATCGCTCATGATAATTGAATCTAAACATTGGAATTCGAAAAATCAATGAACAAAATCAACGATAAATGGCATTATTTGTTTTAGCTTCATTCGATTTTTCAAATTTTATTTTTTGAAATAACTAACTACGTCAAAGCAAATCTATTCGATTAGAAACTGTGACAACCTATCCTATCTATTTATAAAAAATATAAATGTATACGACTTACCAATCGATATAAAGAAATTATATTATTATGATGTATGATATGCCATTGCGAAGATAGTCATCAAACATGGAAACTATAACAATATGTAAAAAAAAGTATAATTCAAACACTGATTATTTGAAAAAGTTGAAATAAATAATAATAATAATAATAATAATAATAATAATAATAATAATAATAATAATAAATAATAATAATAATATATATATATTTATAATAGAAAATATATAAAAATAATTATCTTTTTTGTGTGAAGGAATCGTTTTATTCTTTTGAAAATTGATTTGAAATTGACTCTGACAACAATTATATAAAAAAGAAGAAAACGAAATAATTACTAATGTCTATCTAATTTAACGAACAAACACTGATTCTAATTTCGCGATAAAAAATTTAATTGAAGTTATTGTGCTCTAAAATATTAAAAAATTATCACGGAACAAATACTGAATCCATCGACTATATTACGCAATCATAAAAATCCTGTGAAAATAAAGTTATATTAATATGGAAGAGAAGAAAATTTATAGAAAAGAAATAAAACATATATATATATTTGTATATGTATATGTATAATATGTATATATATATATGTAGTAAATAAATCATTAAAAAAAAATGAAACTGTTATTCACCATGAATATCGATAGCCTATCGATGTGACGCATCACAATTTCGAATCACGAATAGAAAGAAATGTTTATCAATTCGGCGACAAATCGAAACATATCGAATATGATATGAACACGAACTCACAATTTCTTGGAGAAGTTATATTACGAAAAAATGTCATCAGTGTCGAGTATAACATTGGACGAAAAAGAGAAAAAATATAAATATTACAGATAGATATATTTATATATAAAACGCAATTATATATATTAGTGATATAATTTAACTTAAGAAAATAAAATTGATCTTCTTTTAATATGAAAAGACTATAGAAACTTATTCTAAATAAATCTATTTTCGTTAAAACAAATAAAATATCAAAATCATCAGCTAAAAGTCGCTATAGCATGTGTATGTTACAAATTATATTTCGAAACTATCCTAATAATCGAATGATCATTTTCTCAAATGAAAATTAAAATCAATCTATAAAAAAAATTAAAACAAATATATAAAAAAAATTATATTAGGATGAAACAACAAATGAATTCAAATTTCGATTTAATGAAATACGAACTACCGATAACCTAACATAACGAAAAAAATTAAAAACACTAATTAATTTTATCATTACAGTGAAATAAATGAATTATTAAATAAACGAGACTGATAATAATTTGTAAATTTAATAATAAAATACGAATAAAATTATTTACGGTATAGTCGAATTACCGAAGTCACGATTACACGTCCCGTCTCGATGACTTTCGACAGAAGACTGATGTCGCCCGCCACAGTTTACTTAGCGGCTTTCTGATTGGCTAATGTCGTAAGCCAATTCTATAATCAAAATCGCACGGAAAGTTAATGTTTTGCATTATATATTTTAATTAAAAATATAATATATTATTATTAATTTATTTATGTATTATTAATTTTTAATTTACTAATTATTTATTCCATTTCTCATATATTTTTTTATTAATTCATTTATTTATTGACTTATTTATAGATTATCAATTTATCAATTATTTATCAATTTATTTATTAATCTACATTTATTTGACAAATGACTTCTTATCTTTTAAATTACTTTTAATTCTAAAAAATTGTTATTATTGTGTTTATTTTAATATCTAATAAAATATTATATCTCACCGATTTGCACGTCAAGATTCAATCATCATGGACATTGCGATTTTACATTAGTTGCGAATTATATTGCGTTTACAAATCTCGCGTTTTAAATTATAATAAAATGACAATCGCATTAGTATATTGTGTTGTAAAAAATATTGCGATTGTTTTTATTACTTTAATTATAAATTAATATATTTTTTTAGTGTCGTGATTTATAACATCAATATATATAAAATAGTTTTTTATTTATAGAATAATATTTGTTTCGTGTTAAATTCATTTTAAAAATTAGTGTTGTGTTGACAAATGATCATATTGTTCAGTGTTATGTTGATAAATGATTGCATTTTTTATAATAATATTGCATTTATAAATTACTTATATTTCTTTCGCTCAAAAGAGGTTTATTTATAGGTTATCAAAGTGCAATTAAAATTGTAGTTGTATTGACAACTTTTGTTATTTTTCGTTATTATATTTTTCATTATTATATTAATATTTTGTCATTATTATATTAATATTACAATGAAATATGAGTGTGAAAATTGGTTTATTAAACATTTTATTTTGATAAATAGTTAAAACATTTAAGAGTATATGCGAGTTTTCTATTTTTTTTTTGTTTTTTTTTTCTTGATATCATTACATTGCAAATACAAAGTATTTGCAAGTATTTTTCGCGTTTTCTTTTGAAATTTTAGTTTATTAATGTTACAAAATAGAAAAGATGGTTCATTTATAGTTTATATAAAGTGAATAAACTCTTTTGATTATCTTTTCGTTATCTTTTTCTTTTTAGCATTTATTAAAAGCATTTATTATCGAAGATGTTGTTAAAAAATATATTTCTTTTTTTTCTCGGATAAACGTCTCACTAATTCTGTTTATATTTTGTTTTTTAAGAAATCTTTTAACTTTCACAATGAAAAAACATTTCATTTTTTCATCATTAAATAAATCATGATAATGAAAATGTAAAATATCTAATTGAACAATTTTTTAATTTAAATTTTATTTTTAGGATTTTTAGGATCTTTTGTGTCGATTCTTTTTACAATTTTTTTTATTATTTGTATTGTTTGTAAACGTACAGTAAAAAGAGAATTTTTTTAAATTTATTTGAAAATAAAATTTTTATGCAAAAAAGTAATAAATCAGATGTCTTCAATATATAAGCAGCAACTTCTAAGGTGAGACCTAAGAAATCATTATTATTTAATATATAATACATAATATATAACCACTATATAACCAATATCAGAAGTATAATTTTACATATTTTATAAGAAATAATTATGATTCCAATTATTATTTTTATAAATAAAGAGTTTATTAAGATGTTATGAATT